AAAAACCATAGAAATCAAAGGAAGTTATGATTGTAATAAAATGAAAACCGAACACAACACACAGAAAATGCATGGTTACGTCAGCGGACAAGTTACTACCCGGTAGCCCAATGCGAAGTAGGTTGCTTTATCGAAACACATCATATGTACCAATTGTCCAATCTTATCATTGGTCCTCTGGCCTTAGACTGATGTTCGATCTGATTAACTCTCTTGCATCCGTAGGTCTGTTCTCTTTCGCTTCAAATTCGTTTTGTTTATCAGTGACGCAAATCATACCTACTCGCAAGACTTCAACTGGCACCGCATAGTCAGCAGACGTCCATATACCTCGCACTGAGCTGTGTCAGTCCTTTGTCTGTTACAATTGCAAAATCTCTTTACCAGCTTGTCGGCTAGATCACTGCAACGTGACCTGTTACACAGTGCCGCAGTCTCTTAGCTCAGTTCTCATCACACAAACCTTGGACTTTGCTATGGTGTATTCGTATTTTTTGTGCTCCAGCGTCTACTTTACTTTGCGGCTTCCTTTATAGTCAATCGGGTAACTGATAGCATCCTTTTTTGCGGTTCCCTTGTGCAATTTCAAAAATGAAATTCCATATCCAATCCTGAGTAAGAATATCACAAGACAAATGTTGTGAGATGATCCTCTCATTTGGTACATGCTCTTTGGCCACGTATATATAACTAACAAAGGGTTAAAAGCAACGGCATGTGGAATTGCTTAGTGGTCAAATGCTTTCCCGATTGCTACGTGACACGTTACCACGATAGACTTAGTGACACTGTCAGTTGTCTTTTAACAGTGATGGGCGCTGTCGATCCATAACATTTACTGTGCATGTGGGTTGTGAATGATGCTTCGGGGTTTGCCTGGTGACCAATGTTCATCAAATGCCTCATAATTGCTGGGGCGACCTTGCTTTTTCCATTCACTCGGTGCAACCATGATTTTACTTCGTTCGTGTTGTTCTTTCGCCTTTGATGTAGCGTCTGTCTTTCGTCTATTTGTGGGATGAATCATGCATCATGTGTTGATGTCTTCGCCAACCATTTGTGTGTGTTAGCACCCTACCCGCGGTACTAATCCACCCACTCATCATTTGCCCGCCTAATATGCTTTGTTTGCCGGTCACCTCCGTCATACCACACATGTCATCCATGACCCATGCTTTTTACTCGTCGGCAGCATCACCAGCTTTATTGGTGACTACTTTTCTCTTCTGCCTTACCTCGTTCTTCAGCTTCGTCACAAACCGGAGCCCATTTCTTATGTGCTGGGTGTCAGCGCTCTTCTCGTGTGGTCCGGCATTTTGCGCTACGTGGGCTTCTCCTACTCCAACAGTGTAGGTTCACAAAACATGTATGCACCATCACTTAACTTGCCCATGGCTCTCATTTTCCCCCGTGCATCACATCCCCTCTATATGAGTTGAAGCGCAGTTGGGAAACGAATAGCGGACGGTCTGCGGGCGGCGCTAATCAATTATTTTCTAACATAATTCATCAATACCTTCGCTCTCTTCTGCACTCTACACAATGATATTTGTTTCCATGTGTATTATACACCACTAGGCAACACCCCCATTTCATATCCGTCTCACCATTCCCCCTTTGCGCAGATTTTGATGCGGACCATTTTCCACTCAGTTCCCGCTCTGCTTCGTTTCGGCGTATGTTCCCTCATTATGTTCTTCGCATTCAGCCTATGCGGCTGGGTCGTTCTGGGGCCGTACAATCTCAAATTTCGCACGTTTATCTCCACTCTGGAGTGTTTGTACAGTCTCATCAACGGGGACGACATGTACGTGACCTTCAGTGTGATCGGGGACGGTAGCCCCTGGGGCATTTATATCTTCAGTCGACTCTTTCTATACACTTTCATCACCTTATTTATCTATGTGGTTCTCAATCTCTTTATTACAATCATTTTTGAGGCATACACGGAAGTCAAGGTAAGCAAAGATGGCTTTTGTTCCACATATCCTTGAATTTTGCTTCATGTTTCTAATGCCTATGCATACTGAAGTATCGTTTATTTTGTCTCATCTCTATTTCAACGTCTATTTCTCCAGCAACAACGTGATACTTTTGCCCGCCCACACAATTCACCTCTATTCGCATTTATACGGCAAAATCCAATCAGTTATCGATCCCCTCAGTACAAACGCGATGACATCCGGCCTGATCGGAAGCTGCTTCGGTGCTTTGCGTTAGGGCGACATTTTGGCACTGCTCCTACCACGATCTACACCGCGGTTAGCGTTGACTCGGGGAAAGAAAGTGTTGCATGTGATGAGACGAAGCATCGACTTCTCCGTGCTCCTCCGACAGACTCCCAACCCTCAGTGGGTGGTGGAAGTTCCTTGGCTTGCTCTTCTCAGCTAACATCCGCTGGTTCGTCCAGCGTTTCTTTTGTGAGTCAGCGAAGTTCGTCGTCTGGTCTGCAGGAAGAGAAATCGTATCCGACAGATATCGACAACGGAGTTCAACAAGACTATGGTTTCCGCACACCGACTACCTTGCTCCTCCAGGTGGGTGAAGCTCCTCGTGCTTCATTTGTTTTCTACCGTGCTTGACGCATGTGCCTTTTTAACTTGATTGGAACTCTTTTTCACATCCTGTCGGCTCACACTTTTCTGAATTGATCAAACGAATTCGTGTGTTTTTTTTTCTATTATATATATGCGTGCTGTTTCTAAATGGCCAATCTACGCTGTTTTATTGCCTAATGGCCACCATGCGCTCCAGTGCTAGCCGGTCGTAATATCGATTGGCTCTTGTCACCATTTAAGCTGTTGCTTGATCCCGCTCTTTCGAGCAACACTAGAAGCCAATATTTTCCATTGCTCAAATGCTTCAAGGTTCATCTCAGTATAGACAAACTAGTGTGCGCCATTTCCTATGATGCTCGTGCTGTAGTTTTGATTGTATACCACGAAATATTTGATCTAGCAACTGAAGAATGTTGGGAGGTTGTGTTCTTATTCTACACCAGCGCACCGTATCCGGGCAACAAAAGCTATTATGAGTGGAAATGACTTCATAAACTCCTTCCTTCAGTCAATTTTGCTGATCTGGTCCCATGTAATTTTCTTCTGCTGCCGAAAAGAGAAATACTGTCAAAAATACGAGCATTTTGCTTCGCACGAAGCTCTGAGGGGATCGTGGAAATCTCTTTCGTATTGCAAGCAAGGTACTGAATAATTGCGCCACCGACTGAACAGTGTTAAGGTGATCTTTGTAGAAAAGTGTATCTATCTTATTATGGTTCCCACTTGGCTGCTGTATCGGGCTCAGAAACTATCGGCCACCCATCATCACACAATAGTAAACTCTTTTTGGTACTCATCTCATTGATATTTTTACATCACATCGTACCTGACGATCGAGGTTCTGGACTAAGCTACTTGGCCGATATGATGACTTACCACCTCTGTCACGTGATTTTTGCACCTTTGCTTTCTATCCGTATGTGTGTCAATCTCAGTCACCCGAACTTGACCGCTCAACTCACACACCACGTTCACCTCCGAATGCTGCATCGGACGAGCGAATGTTGTTATGTGCTATAGTTCCGCACATTCATTATCACTGTAAACACGCATGAACTTTCTGGCATTTTGTAGTCAACCAGCCTATTGGTTGCTCATTACTGGAAGCCGATTTTACCCACGCTGCTATGTGTTCTGATCTCACTTTTTTATTTGCAACGGTATATTCATTTCACTCGGCGACTCATTTGAACCACAATAATTACTACTACCCGATAATCATCCGTGCATTTCACAATTTCGATTTCTGTTGAGCGCCTGTGATAGGGAGCCTGAGGGCATCTCAGATGCTGGGGCCTTCCGGCATTCATCGAGACAATAGGCTGGCAATGAATTCCTGTCTACTTGATTCCTCACTCGAATCGTTCTCCATCTCTGACCCAATGTGTATGTCCCGTATCGAAACCACTGCTTCAGCATGGTCTAAAGTGCACGATACCCTTCATGTCATTCGTTCTTTGTGCCAGAGGTACTTTTGCAGCAATCTGTGCGATAATTATCCAGATGTAGCCATGAATAATTTGGCAGATAAACATTCGGTCTTTATCTGAATTATGAAATGTGTGCGATCAAGGGTAAATAATTTTGCTATTTTTCCAACTTTTTACCCATCCTATGATCAGCTGCCTTAGCGGACTGGCCTCCACAAGTATCCGCTTTGGGCGACCCATGTGACTCTTTCACTTTTATTCTGAGCCCTTTGCTTCTTATACGAATCGTCTAACCAACTACTGACATTAGTGTCTGTAGTTCGTTATCTTTGAGGGTCGTATATCCTTATTAATGCATGCTTTTCGATTGAGGCTTGTAATTTTATTGCCTATTTCTGACTTCACTTTGAATGTGTTCCCTGTATAAATCATGTATTTTTGCTAGGGCAATTAAGGATTAATATTTTGTTTACTTGAGAAGACGGTGAAACTTTGAACCGAAGACTTAACACCACCGGAACGCTGTCTGACATGGTATTGCGAAAGGGGGCATTGACGCTTTCTGCGACTCCTGTTGCAACACCCAATATGGCGGCTCTTGCGGTGATATTCTATAACTGAGCTTATGGTTGACAAATTGAAACGAATATTTACTTCCTAACAAATGTCACAATTTATTATAGGCACCGAACAACCTTCACCTACTTGTCGATTTCCTTTCGAGTGCGCGTTGTGTGCTCATTGTGCACAACGCAGCCCTAATCATGACCTAGATACAATTTGAAGTGGACCTTAGTCACCGGCTTCTGGAACCATATCCGAAGCATATTCACTTAGCTACTTCACTTCTCGGCTTTTTCGCTAGATCACTTGACGAGCAGTCCGTTTCACATCATCATCATCATCCTCAACAGCAGTACATCATCCATTTGCATTGATGATTCGATGTCATGTAACCACAATGACCTCAAAAATGATCAGTATCTTAAGGTTCTGTCTGCAGGTGCGGTACTGGTGTCGATTGCGAGCCATTTCCTGTGAAGTCTTGAACCAATTACAAGGTGAGTCACGTGAACTCCAGTCTTGAAGGCGAGACACACTAACAGTGCCTCTTTTATGCGTCATCTACTTCATTTCCCGCTGCCAGGTCGATTGTTGCCCACCTCGAGCCTTGTACACAAAACGTGACCATCCTCCATAAGCGGTGACCAAGGATACGTAATACGTACCCACTCCAAAGCAACTTACTCAGTGCTATCTATTATTCTAAGAAATTAGCCTGATTATCACTACCTAGCACTCACCCACACACATCATCATTACCGATGCACTGCTGCCATTGTGCAGCAACAATGCTTCATAGACACCGATGGCCAAAAACTTGAAGGCGTCTCAAATCTTCTGACTAAAGGGGCCAAATTCCACTCCCATAGAGTGGGATATGTCTCGTCTTGGTCGAGCGGAACCCAATTCTGCCGCCACAGGTGTCAGAAGTTCAAGAAGGCAGTTCTAGCTTTGGCAATACGTGAACTGACTACATTGGTTATTCACCCATCGTTTCCGATACAACCTACAATGAATTGATCAACTACCTCGAGTTCCTCGTTATGAATGCTCAAGGAGTCATCAAGTGGTTGGTGTTCCCGCAACAACACTTTGCACTTTAAAGGTCCAAAGCGCATGTTAACTGATAGGGCCACATTGGAGAGGTTATTCGGGGTTTAACTGGGCTATCTCATCATCGTTGAACAGTGAGACAGTATCGTTTGAGAAATCAGTGCCAACTAATTTTCCACAAGGCAATACCTTTATTTCTGCATCGTAAGATTCCGCAAAGGAACACACCACGCTGGATTCCTCAACGAAGTTGAATGAAAATGGAGGAAATTAAACCACCCTAATGAACGCCATTTTGTACCGAAAACACATCCGACAAGTCACCGTAGACGTTGATGCGGTCTGTGGTTTTCGACTGTAGGGCACGTACAATGTTCACATAATTTATGGGGCTCTTTTTGCTCGCAAATATGCTGAACAGACTAATTAACGGTCCACTGAGTCGAACGATCTCTCAAAGTCTGGGATCACAATTATTGCCCATTGGCACTACCTGTGGGCTGCTTCTGAAACCTGCCGCAGTGTGAATCTACCGTCTAGACGGCATCGGTCTAGGCGGAACCCTGGTTGCTCTTCCTAATCCGGTATTCTCGCTCCGGAGTGAAGCGATGAGCGAGAATTGAGGTCAGTGATTTTGTCACCAGCAACGTTAGGCCACAACTTCTGCGGTTAGCGTATTCAGTGCGACTACACTTCTTGTATATTATCGCTGATCGACTAACTCCATTTAGCTGGAATTGTCTCTTCTTTCCATGCATGCTAGAACAGGTGGGTCAGTGCTTTGCAGAGAACCTCACCACTATCTATGGATGTTGCCGGTGCAAGGGACTTCTTACCAATAGCTCGAAAACGATTGACGACTAATATTGTGTTTCGGAACTCAGTGTCCGATGGAGCCTTTAAACTAACTCGTCATGGTTGGGCGTGAACCACCTGGACGGGAAGAGACCCATGAGCTGGGGGCAAGCTGAACTGCTTTCTAAAGTGCTCCTTTTAACGACCTAGAAAGCATTTGTTACTGTGAATCAGCCGGTCGGTGGACGAGTGGTCTGCAATCCTGGTTTGCACCCAAAAGGTCACCGGTTCGAATTCGCGTAGAGGTCGACATCCTCACGGTATACTCAGCCCGCGCGCGACTGGGGGTGATCGCGTGGCAGCGAAGCGGCATTACGGCGCACAGTTGACGCATTACATTACTCACTGGTGCTTGATTTTCTGGGAACACTGGTGCGTTTGGAAGAGTTTGTAATTATTGCCTGTTCCTCCCGCTTCCTCCATTTCCTGAGCACTGCATTCCGACCGGAGTTAAATCTAAACTTACCACCTAGCTCAGCTTCTGTAGACCCAGGCTACTTTCTTTCTTCTTCCCTGCGTCAACAACACTGCGAAGTAGCGTGTTCAGTTTGTGGTCGGTGTCCTCGGCAGCACCAGAACTGCAGTCATTGGGGACATAGGCAGCAACCACAGGCAAAGTGTCTTCTGCTCCTTCTTGAATAAACGTTATTTAATGTCTTTAGCTACATACAAACGGTAGCTCACGGGAATTCAATCAACTTGTGTTGGTTTAGCCTAGGTGCTGAGAACAATGCCCACCTTAGCTTAACCAGTGGCTGCGGCCTCAACGTCTCAAGATGCTTGTAACCAATAGGGCTAGGGCGAGCCGAGTGCAGTTGGCTGAGCTATCACGTGAGGGTCGTTGATCCTAGTTTCGGTTACGCAACCGGTGTCCAAGGTGCCTGCGAGTGCAGGCTGTTTGACCTATTTGTCTTATAGTGAGAATGTTGAACCCTCTCAGGGAAGCGGAAAAGCATGTCCTAAGAGATTGCTGTCTATCTGAGTCCAGTGGATGATACGGGAACGTGACTGCAAGTGACAAAACTCCAAGTGGTATTACAGCGGTTGTCATCTAAGTTTGGCATTACAGAAGGAAGG